GATTCATAAAATCCTTTAGTAGTTTAGGTAGATTACATTAAATTATAAATAATTAATGTCCTTTGAGTCTTCATATTCAAGAAAATGAACTTTCAAATATACTTTAATCTCTTTGGTGTTGTATAGACAATTTTGTGATTAACCTTAAGTTTTAAATTTCTGTAATGCATTATTTAAAATATTAGTCCTTATTCACCAATTCTATAGGCTGAATACACACAGGAGAAATAAAACATTCATAAATTAAGGAAGATGAAAGGATAATAAAAATACTAAAAGTAAAAATTAGGAACTCATATGCAATGCTTAATTAAATATGTATAATTTAAACATTTCTTATGCAACCAAAAGGTTTTCTGATAGTCATACTGGCATATTGTTTTGGACATCAAATACAGTGAATAATGATTTTGGACAAAAACTTCACACTTTTAATTTCTCAAAAGTGATAGAACCTTCTTTTACAGGATCTAATATTTTCTGTTTTTCTACCCTCAACTGTGTTTATATTCACTATTCTGTGCTCACATAGTGAAGAAGTTATTAGATAGAATGAATGTCTTTGCAATAATGTTTCAGAATATATATTCTGCTCTAGTAAGCTTCGATGCAAACATTTTCATTCCCCACCAGATGGTATAGACTCAGCCCCATGACGGTAATTATAGAAGCATTTCGTATCATTATGGGTAAGCAAACAAGTATTAAACAGCTTCAACAATACATTTGTGACAAAACAGAAGCATTTCTGTGCTAATGTGTCAGCTACTACACACAGAGCTTTCTGCCACTAACAATAAAAGCTTGGATTGATAGGAGTCTGTAATCTGACAATGCACGTGGGGACTGCACTACTCATTAATCATGTGTAATGATAGAAAATTGTAATTCCAAGTCACCTTTGTTCCACATAACACATTTCTGAAGTCCTGTACTTCCTTATGCCTAACAGAGAACACAGCTATATTTTCCCCATGATTCCCATGAACTCTGTGTTTCACCTTAAAGGTCAATAATAAGCTACCTAAAAAGATATACTGAAAATATTCAGTAGCCTAATCTTATAAAATCAGAGTTTCAGGAGTATATTAAAATATTAAGGAAATCATTCATGCTTGAGTTTAAATTTTAAGTAAATCATAGTTAATTTTTTCTTTCATAAATAATACAAAGCTGAAAAATTAAATGCCAGTAAAATGAGATATTTTGCTATGTTTGTGGAGGTTTAGTAGCATAGACATATATTATCTTCTTATAGGACTTTCAGTCCAGTAAGATGAATTTTAAAACATGTTCATGTAGTTATTATAAAATACTATTTCCATTTTCAATAAAACAAAAGAGATTTCCTTAAAGTCTTACATGTTGAGCATTTACAATATAATATTTTGAACTTTCTTTCTTTCTTTCTTTCTTTCTTTCTTTCTTTCTTTCTTTCTTTCTTTCTTTCTTTCTTTCTTTCTTTCTTTCTTTCTTTCTTTCTTTCTTTCTTTCTTTCTTTCTTTCTTTCTTTCTTTCTTTCTTTCTTTCTTTCTTTCTTTCTTTCTTTCTTTCTTTCTTTCTTTCTTTCTTTCTTTCCTTTTTTATTTTCTGGTACTGGATCAAACTCAGATCCACATGCTTGCGAGGCAGCCACGTTGCCACTGAGCTAAATCCCTGGTCCTTGAATTTTATTTCTTATGAAAATGAAAATTATTCTGAAACAATGAAACAAAATTTACAATGCTATTTAGAAAAAGAAGTACATAGTAAGATAGTGAATGAGCAAATGTTGTGATATGCAGAACTCATTAAAATATTAAACATTGATGATATCACAACTAAAGTTTTTCATCTTTTTTATTATGTTAGTATTTTGTGGGATGAAATAGAAAAGAATCCTACTTTTTTAATTAAGTTTATGGAGTACTACTCAGCCACAAAGAACAAGAAACTAGAGACATTTATAGCTGAATGGATGCACACGGAGGTGGTATTCAAGTTAAATAAATAGAACACACATGCAAATATCGAATAGTTTTTCTAATATGAAAACCTAAAAATTTAAATAAGGTTCAAATGGTGTAATTGATAATGTGAAATAGGAAGGAGAGGGCTAAAGGAATAACGGAAGTGGAAAGGGTAGGGGAAAGGAAAGAAGGGAAAAGAAAAACATGAAAAGGAAAAAAATGGCAAGAAAATCTTTGTAAAAGAATCCTATTCTTTATGACAACTTTGTAATTAAAAGATGTGAGGCTAATAGAAACTAAAAACTTTCACAGAGAAAAAGCCTAAACACACAGTTTAACAGTTTGTGCGTTTTTCTTATTTTGATGAGAGCCCATATTATATTTTACGTGCATCTAATTAGTTGGGGGTGATAAGATTCTGATCCATGCCTCTTCTGATTGCTACTGTTTTACTAAATGTGTAAGAAGCAGTGCCATCACTAAGTGAGATGGAGGGAAGGTAGACTAAAAAAGTGTGAAATTGGCACTCAGGAGTGATACAGAATGAATAATGAGAAAACAAGTATTTTTGTGTAGCCATAGGGTCACATTTGAGATGTCAGAGTACAATGGGGATAAACTTATATTCTTATAGCCATAAATTACAATCGAAGTGATTATGGTTATGTATTAATACTCAGCTAAGTTCTACTGCAGAAATTTGGATATTTATTAAGCAGAAATTACAGGTGAACAGAGAAAGGGAGTTGAGAAATACGAAAGATAATGCTAAAACTCACTAGAGAATTTGAGCATTAAAAAATGTGCAGAGAGGCTGGGGATTTAGCTCAGTGGTTCTGCCATCTGCCTTGCAAGCACACGGTCCCAAGTTCTGTCCCCGGTACAAAAAAAAAAAAAAGAAGAAGAACTGGAAGAGAAGAAGAAGAAGAAGAAATGTGCAGAGAATATGTGAGGCTGGGAATAAAGGCCAGTGATGTTAGATAAGGTTGATAGAACTCAGGGCCTTAATGTTATAAAGCAAAAAGATTTTTGGTGAGAGAAATTTGAAAATAACGGGGTAGTGGCCAACAATCCAATTATGAAATTGTAATTATGGAAATGTGCTTTCATTGAAAAATATAAATTTTTTCTTAAGTTCGTGGGCAGGACAGAATAGAGGTTAAGATCACAGGAGAATAAACTCCTTGTGAATTCAAGGCATTCCTTTTTAGTAAATTTATTTCTGAAGGCAAACAACATTTAATTACATCATTATTTCCAAAGAGAAATGATTAAAAAAAAAAAGTCTGTCTATCTTCCCATGATCATGATATGCTAAATTTATCTTTGGGAGAAAATGCCAATGTCAATTCAAATAAACCTAGACATATAGTAAATATTTCTTTTCCAATAAATGCTAAATGATTGAGGCAAATTTTAAAACAATATAAATCATATTCTTTGCTTTAAATATTTCCCTGGCTAATGCCATTTTTTAATTGTTAAAATACAGCAAAGGGTCGCTGGTCACAAAATTTCCCCCAAAAACGTCATGATGTAGTCTTCTTCATTATGTTTAAAGCTTGTCATGTTTTCAATCCATCTAAATAATTGTCACCACTGACATTTAAATGAAAGGTATTAGCCACTAGGCTAATAAGCTTAACTCCTTCTAGATTTTAAATATATTAACCTATGCCTTTTCTCTTTTTCCATAGATAGTTGATAAATGATAGGCAGACAGATGATAGATGGAAGAGATTTTTAGATAGCTTCATAGTAGACATGATAATTTAAGCAAATGATGCAAGAGAAATACACTGATCTTTGAGTCCTTGATTCTCTCTCTTCTTTCTTTAGCACTTTCTATCAGTTCCTTGTCCATGGCCGCACAATACAGTATTTAGTTTTCCTCACATATGTGAAGAGTTCCTGCTTCTCAGCTAGTCATTCTCTTACCGAAAACTTTATCTCCAGCGATGTGTGCCACTCAAGCGTGGGCTAAGTAAAAGTGCTTGGTATCGATGTCTGATGAGTGTCCTCAGAAAGGAATTGTTAAAAAAAATATTTTAAATGCCTTGCTTCCTAGTAAATAAAAAAAGTGGACAGTGTTTTGGGAAATTACGCTGAGTTCAGTAATACTGAGTGCTGCTCCTCACGGTGGGAATTTCACTGCATGTATTTATAAACTTTTTTTTTTTTTGCTTTCTTAACTCTCTTTGCTTATTGTTATACAAGCTATTTGAACTTGTTTCTCTTTTAAAGTCTTTGGGGGCTCTCAAGCTATGCAACTTAAAATTTATATATTCTTGTCCATATTATCAACCTCTTCAAATCCTACCCTTAACCTCCAACATGTATTTGTTTTTACATCAAAGTTTACCTCAGTGCTACAGCAAAATTGCTTCTTCACCTTTATTTATCGATTTGTGTAACAAATATTCTTTTCATTTTGTTATTTTCTTCTCTTCTCTGTAGTCTATGTTATTCAAACAGTTTTTTCATGCTGCATGTTATGCTTTGGTCAAAAATGTCCCACAAAGGCTCCTGAGTTCAGAGCTCGACCTTTGGTTCCATCATGGAGGTGCTCTCCTGTCAAATATTTTCGCAAGAGGTGAGGGCTGTTGGAGAAAGTGGGACACTAGGAGCATAAACTAGACCGACACATTTTTTCCAACTCTCTTCCTCTTCCTCTGCCTCTTTCTTGCTCTCTCAGCTTTCCGACTCCAACGCCGTGAACAGTTTTTCTCCTTCATGAAATTCTGCCTTGAGGTTTCTACCTTGGAGCCAGTTTAGCATGGACTGAAATCTCTGGAGCCAAAATGTACTTTTCCTTCCTCAATTTGTGATTTCAAATATTATCTATGCAGCTCAAGTCCAGTTGCTTCATTCCCCCCCCCATTTCGGGGAAGATCCTCTAGATACCCAATTTGTGTCCGTCCTATCCACCCATCTATGCATTCCTGACACAATTTGCCTCAGTTACTGTCCTCGCTTTGACACATTACCTGACAACCACACCTTGAAGAGGGACAGGTTTACTCTGAGTTACATTTTTCAAGTCATGGTCACCTGGCTCCAAAGGAGAAACTGCGTGATAAAAAATCTGGTGACAGAATCCTGCTCGTGTCATGGCAGCCGGCAGCAGAGAGCAGACAGGATCGGAGAAGGCGGGTGAGTCCTTCTCGTCACCACCCCAGTGTGCTGCGTGTTCTAACCAGGCTCCTCCTCTCCACGGCACGCTCAGCCACTGAGCTCATCCACTTGTGAGTACAGCAACCCAGTTCCACAGCCGCCCCACAGAAGCCCTGCTGCCAGGAGCAGGAGAATTTGGGGAACGTTCTAGATCTAAACCATAACAATGGCCTCCTCAAGTTTCCCAAAACATAAAAGAAAAATTTAACATTCTCTATTATTTATTTGCAGTATTTATTTTATTGTCTCCCGACAGAATATGTGAATGAGTGATCTGTATGTTCTAATATCTCTTTAGCCTACTAAACATAACATGTGACTTTGACGGGATAGGCACTTGATTTATATTTTACTGCAGTTCTTGAGCAAAGTAATTTATAAGCAGTAGTCATTTAGATTTTCATTTCTATAAATCCTGAGCAAAATAATTTCTATCTATTTCAGAAGTTTAAAAAAAGATCTTTTTTTAAATTTACTTGCATCGCTTTTTTGTTGTCAAAACTTGGAGACTTAGAAAGCTGTTTGATGAACGTATTGAACGTCATCAGAAAAGTATATCTAAGTACCCATAATTACTAGATTACATTATTAAACATTATTCAAGTCAAGGGCTTAATTACTTGGATTTATGCTCTGAAACACATCTTTTAGTCTTTGGTTCCCATGTTTTAATTAAAACGTTCTTTCTTCTTATCCTTCCCCTCGTCATTATATTGCTAAATTAGTTGAAAGAAAAGCGTAGTCTCAAAAATCAGCTGTTACTTTGAACCATATCTGGAGTATCATCAGTCCTTGGAATTAGTAGCCCAGTAACAAGTAATTATTGAATTGACTCCTGATTTTTTATAATTATAAAAATGTGATCATTACTTTTCAAATTTTTATCTACCACATTGGAAAAAGAAAATCTTTAGATGCTCGCAAGAAAAGATAAATAAATGATGCTATCTGGGTACAAAGATAAAATAGATTTCCACGCTTTCATATAACGAGTCCTTCAAAAAATTTGAAATGAGTGTCATGGTTTTCCACCTAAATGCTATCTTAGAATAGTTTCATTTCTTTTGATTCCTTCTCTATTTTTCAATTTTCTTATTTTCTTTAAAGAAAAATAGGCATAGGTAATTTAAAAGATAAAACACTAGTTCAATCTGTTGATTTATTTAAAATACTTTTTTAATTTGTACTCATCCAAGCCAAGTTAAACACATATGTGTGATGGCTTTGGCTTACAGTTTTCTAGTGCACAACTCTCTTATTGTACCAACCCAGTCTATTAATAATTGCATTTTTCTATATTGGCAAACATTTGATATAATTAAAAGGTGTCTAGGATCTTCTATTGTCTTTAATAATAAAATCAACAGCTCTATTTTCCACAACCTTAGTTCCATCCTCTTATACACATTTGATAAGAGGTGACAAGGAGAATGCTTTCCTGAAGATTTACAATTAACCTGTAGTAAAATTTGCCTGGTATTTTATTACAATGTATTTTGATTTTAAAAGAATTCTGTCTATATGTATATGACTACTTCATTTTCATTGTAAAATGCCACATCAAAAAATATAGAAGTAACATTTAGGGCACAGACAACAAAACAAATCAGAGTCGCCAAACATTAAAATATTATTGCATCAAATATCTATTAACAAAGTAAATAGATAATTCACAGAGAGGTGAGGCATATATGCAAATAATAAATGTAGTAATGGATTTATGTCCAGAATATATAGTAAACTAACTAATAAAAAAATGACCCCAAAAAGCAACCTCATTCAAAAAATTTCCAAAGAAATCATGTATAAATTTCTCCAAAGAAGACATTCCAATGGGCAATGAATAAGTAAAAAATGCTGAACATCGCTTATCATTAGAGAAATACAAAATTTTACAATGAAATGCCATCTTACTCTAATCCAGATGTCTATTAGCAATGTAACAGAAAATAATAGGTATTGGTGAGGATGAGATGACACTGAAGTCGTGTTGAACTTTTGGTAGACATGTAAAATTGTATAGGCACCATGGAAAACAATTTGTTTGATTCCTGATGAAATTAGAAAAATCAAGATATAATATTACTTATCAAGCTCAGTGATAAGCATCAAACTAAAAGAGGAATTGAAAGCAAGGCTTTTAGATATTTGTATAGCCATTTATAGAAATATTATTTATAACATGATAAACATGCGAGCCAATTCAGTGATCATCAGCACATGAATAGATAAGCCATATACCTGATGGAATAAAATTCACCCGTAAAAAGGAAGATAATTCTGACATATGCCACAACATGGAAGATATTAATGTAAGTGAATTGAACAAGTAATGAAAGAAAAATATTTTATAATGCACTTGAATGATGTGCTCACAGAAGTTCAAATCATAGAAATGAAGGTGGAATTTGAAGCAATGGAGATTTATTGGGTAACAGTGACTGAATTTGAATTTTCCTACATGAAGTGTTACAAAAATGTACTATGTATTGATTGCACATTGTTGCTATATAATAGGACTTAAAATAATTGATGTTAAAAATTTAAGATTTAAATTATGTATAATATACCATAAGAAATATAAACTTAAAGAATAAACTAAAAATCATTGGTTGTGAACAGGTGGCTTCATACTGTTGCTTAAAATATGCTAAGGGACATGGGAAAATGGATGCATATCAAGGATATACTCCTAAGTGAAATAAATAAGTCACATATGTGTAAATGCTGAATAGTTTCTCTGGTTTGAAAAACTGTAATGGTACATAAGATCCTAATTACATAATTGACAATGTGAAATAAGAAGAAAAGGGCTAAAGGTGTAGGGAAAGTGGGAAGGGTAGAGGACAGGTAATAAGGGAAAAGAAAAATATGAGAAAATGGAAAAATGGAAATAAAATATTTGTAATTAGGGAAGGGAGGAGGGGGTGAACGGAGGGCAGGAAAAAGGGAAAAATGAGAACCAAGACCTGTCATGTAAAGGTACAAGATCCCAATGATGAATGTAACTGTACTGTATACCTAAAAAGTACCAATAAACTCAATGAGAGGAAAAAAAAATTATGCTAAGGGAAACTGTGAGACACGAGTTTGAATTATTAAGAGAGAATAATACAGAATAATACAGCAACATTTAAAATGAACCATATTAGCACATAAATATTTTACGTTATCACAATGCAAATCTGCACTAGACAGGTGTCGGGGAGTGAAGGTACTCCACAGTGCAACTCTGGTGCACACATGAATCAGTCTTCCCTTTGATCACAGCAGGATGGGGATGCGCAGCATCTACTCGGTATCTACACATCACATGGGATACACAGTGCCTGTTTCCGCTGCACTACTCACAGTGATTCAGCCAGGATTTACAACAAGGTGACTGGAATATGCTCAGTTATAAATGGGCTGTTTGTGATATCCACTCTCTAGGTTACCCTGGAGCAAAGATTTTCTTCATTTTTACAATAAATTCATTTTTTTTCAAAATATTGTGCTCTCAATATAGGATAGTACTAAAAATGTCTCAGAAGCATATAACATCCATAGGAAAGGCCCTATGATTACTAAATTTGAAATAAAAATTGTAAATGTTCATACTCTAAAAGTTTTGTATTTGTAGAAAGTATATCATTTTTTCATTAGCCTTTCAAGTACTATATTTCTGAATAATCTCTTCATATATATTTTCACTCAGTTTCTCACAATATTTATAATCCAAATATTCTGAAGACAATCTGAAATTCTCAATGAATAACTTTAATAATTAAGAAATTATTTATAAATAATATATATATACTCATGTTCATATGTTTGCATGTATGTGTAATTCTTTCTTGGCATTTAAATTTAGTGCAATAAACTTTATTTTGTATTTTTTCTTTTTTTTTATTAATTTTATTGAGCTTATTGGTACATTTTAGGGATACAGTACAGTTACATTCATTGTTGGGATCTTGTACCTCTACATGACAAGTCTTGATTCTCATTTCTTCCCCTTACCCCTGCCCTCCCTTCACTCCCTCCTCCCCTCCCCATCTACAAACACTTTATTTTCATCTTTTCATTCTCTCACATTTTTTTATTTTCCCTTTTTGTTCTTCCCCTACCCATCACACCTTCCCTGCACCTTCAGCTCCTTTCTTCCCATTTCTAAATGTCTAATGTAATCTTATTAGAATCTTATGCATTGTTGCAGATTATTCACACCAGGGAAACTATTTCGTATTTACACACGTGTGACTTATTTATTTCACCTAGGAGTATATCCTCAATATGTATCCATTTTCCTATGAATGAATCTATTTTCTCATTCATTATGGCTGAGTAATATTCCATTTTATAGAAAAACCACAACTTCTTTTTATATTGATGTTATTGGTATGTTTTAAGTATACAGCAGAGTTACATTCATCATTGGGATCTTGTGCCTTTACATGAGAGATCTTGGTTCTCATTTTGTCCCCATACCCTTCCCCTCTTTCACCCCCTCCACTCTCCCAATTTACAAAAACTTTGTTTCCATTTTTCTTTTTCTCATATTTTTCTTCTCCCATATTTCCTTTCCCCTACCTTTTCCCTCTTTCCCTACACCTTTAACCTTTTTCTTCCCATTTCGTATTATCAGTTACACATTTCGGATCTTATTTATCATTTTATTTTTTCATATCAGAGAAACTATTTGGTATTTACACATGTGTGACTTATTTATTTCACTTAGGAGTATATCCTCAAATTGTATCCATTTTCCTATGAATGACTCTAATTTCTCATTCTTTATGGCTGAGCAGTCTTCCATTTTATAGAAAAACCACATCTTCTTTATCCAGTCTCTGACTGATGGGCAAATAGGCTATTTCCAAATATTAGCTATTACAAACTGTGCCGCTATACATATAGGTGAGCATATATCACTGTGCTATGATTCTTTTAATTCTTTTGGAAAGATATCCAGCAGAGAGATAGATGGGTCAAATGGAACCTCTCATCCTAGTTGTTTGAGGTATCTTCATATTGATTTCCACAGTTGTTGCAACAATCTGCACTCTGACCAATAGTGGAGAAGAGTTCCTAGTGAAAATAATATAAAATTTCATTTGGAACCAGAA